CTTCGCTCTGTCTGCTCGCGTTCATTCTTCCCCGATTGGGGAATATTTTCCGATCATTATGTCCACATCTGGTCAATAAGAGTGCTTAATATCGGCTATCGTAACTTCTGTAGAGCATGTAAACTTATCAGATCCCTCTGCAAAAATTTAACATATCTATGAAGCAATAAATATAAATTTCCAAATTAAATGTTCCTTTTAAATATATGAGTTGCGGTGAAAATATTAATAAAATAAACCAAAGTTATTTTAAATATAGTATTGTATTATTTTAGTATTCATAGATACAGTATTTTTTTTCTTGTATCCATCCATATCTTCAAATTTTAGATACTGTAATTTTCCCTATTACCCAAACAAGTCAGCAAATTCCCCAATACCTGCCCTTACCCTGGTTTTCCAGTTCTAAGTGAAACTCCTAGCTGAACACACCTGTAAGTCTCTAATTTTATTCTTCTAATTTTAGTTACTTATTTATTTAATTTTTTGGTTTTCTTTTTTTTTTTCATTCTTTCCTCATATTCCTTTATGTCTATCCTTTTTTTCTTTTCTTTCAATCTTTCCTATAGACCTGTAGAAGTATATTCATATTTTCATATATTATATATTACACTACAACAATTGTTACCATCTATTTACTTTAGTTTAGGATTTTTTTACTTAGCTTACTCTGTTTATATTTTAATGTACTTACTGTTTATAATTTTAATAAGCTTATTCATATTGTTTATAATTTTTAGTCTAAATATTATGTAACTTCCACAATTCTCTATTTTTTTGTATCTTGTCCATTCTAGCCCTGAAGAAAACCTGCAAATTTGGCTTTTAATAAAATAGTTTTACCACTATTTAGCTTATTTATGACCACCACCCCGGACTATCTCCTTCGTTTATAATGCAACGGTCAACTATTAAATATTCAATAAAGTTATTTTAAATATTTCAGGACCTAGAATCACCTTTCTTCCACATGTAGCAATGTTCATTTCACGGCCCATAAAAAAATTAATTGGATTATAATATAAAAAAAATCTGGTGTGACTACTCACGCGACTTTCCTACCTATTCCAAAAAAGTATTTATACCTTTACATATGTCTATCACGAAACAAAAAAAAATTAATTAGATTTATTTTCCTGAAAATTGATCAAAGAAAAGATTTGAGTATGATTTATTTGAAAAAATAAAGCAATGTAAACCGGCTTAAGGTAGATCAGTGTAAAAATTGCAATACCCTCTGATATTGCATGTGAAGTAGGTGGTGGAGTAGGAATTGTTTGAAGAAATTTGTAGACAAGGATTTATGTATAGAGATAGCTAAAGAGTGCCAAAAGGAGTAGTACGAATGACGAAGGATTTACTGAAGGAAGTCGTTTTATACAAGAAAATATATAAATCACTTGGTTGAGATCAGGTATTAAGAGAGTGGATACAGAAACGTAGAGTAGAGTATAGTTAGCGTACATGTGTCTATTCTAAATTTTTAATACTTTCTTTCATTTATATAATTGTTTATTAGTTGTATTTTAGTATAAAATTGAATGAAATCTCTACATAACAACAAGACAACAGTAGCATGAATCGCAAAATAAAGTTAATTGTTTAGTTTTATTCCATTGTCATTTAATTATAAATTACGGTTTCCTGTATTGACTTTTCCCTTTTTCCTCATTTATGTTATACTTTGAAAAGTAAAAAATCGGTCGAGTATTAAATGAAATCAATATTAATAAACACATAACTATAAAAATAATACAAAAAAGTTTAAAAAATGTGATTCATTAAACTTCATGATGTAATCCGATATGAGAGGAAATGGTTGACTGTATCACATATTTAAATTCATTTTAACCAGTTATCATTCAACGTTATTCTACGGTACCACAAAAAAAAAAAAAAAACTAATTTTTTTTCTGAAATTTTATTAAGACATTTTTTCCTGTTATATAAATTAGGCCATTATTCACCAACATTTTATTTATTAACTATTTTATTACGACGTTTCGATCATCACTAGGGCCATTTTCAAGTATGTTAGGTTTACATTACCATCTATTAATTCAACAAAGACACGCTTAAAAGGTTTTCATCGGTCCGCACTACGCTGATATATTCCTGGGTCACGAGGTGGCCTCCCAGTTGTTATATTTCTTCTGTTCATAATTCATATATTATTATATTATTTATATCACCGTAGTACGGACCAATGTAAACCTTTTAAGCGTGCCTTTGTTGATGTAATAGATGTTAATGTAAACCTAACATACTTAAAAATGGCCCTATTGATGGTCGAAACGTCGTTATAATCTAATAAATAAAATTTTGGTGAATATTGGCCTAATTTATAAAACAAATAAAACCTCAAGACACCAATTTTAGGAATAATGAACAGAAGAAATTTCTTCCTTGGTCCAATAAATCGAAAAAGCGTCCAACTCAAATAATTACCGAACCACGTGAAAGGAACGTACGCTTTCTATGCATGATAAATCGGTGTCGGAATCCAATATGAAATCTTATTTAAATATTGGTGACTTCAGAGTTCTTCAATGCCAACCTCTAATTGTAAGTGTGGAGGAGGCTCACACACTTGGAGCATGTATAGGGATGGAATAAAGGTTATATTGTGGCTCCCTTCAATATAAGCAGATTGCTGAGCTAACCGTAAAGTTGCGTAACTAAAGGAGATTATTCTAATTGTGCTAGCTATTGTTCAATAACTGTAAGCTGGCTGGGGTAATACCTTTCCACTTGCTCACGGCCATTAGATCAAATCGTCGGTGTAAACGTTGAAAAAGAGCAGTTATTGTGAACGCATTCAATAAACGCTATTTACGGTAGCAATTACACTATCTATGGCAAGAAAACGTGCAAGTAAAAAACTACAAGAACGCGCTTAAATAATACGTATTATATTGTGTGTATATATATATATATATATATATGTACGTATGTATGTATGTGTGTGTGCGTGTATGTGTTTGTGTACTACTGACGGATCCTCGGAGGGAAGAAGGGGAAGAACTTTCGGGTTGAAGCCCTCCAAAATGGAAAAATAATTTTTTTTCGCATATTTTTTTTAGTGATCCGATTTAACTAGTTACACAATAAAAATATAACATAACTTAACACATGTAATTTAGCTGCTAAATATAAGCATGTGTAAAAAGAAAGTGAATCCTTAAAAGCATTATTGTTTCTGTAAACACTTCTTTTTTAAATTAATTCATAATCATTACTTTGTTTTTTTATTATTATTTTTAACAAGCTTTCAAGTACTATTCGATCTTTAATGTATAATAATTTATTTCTTTTTCTTCCACATTAATACCATTGCTTAAAAAAAATACCCATCAAAATTACATTTTGGATCCGCTATATACATGACTGAAGAATAAGCATCTTATTTTATATAGTATGTAATCTCAGCTGTTTCATTTATACCATTTAGCTATTTATTTTAAAGATTCAATTTCTATGAATTAACTTAACTAAATTTTAATAAAAATTTAAAGTTTTCTATTTCTATTAAAAAGTTATGGATTTCTATATATATAAAAATTTATAACAAGAAATCCATTTTTCATTCCACTTCAAATTCAAATTTTCCCGATTAATTTATATATATAAGTGTCCTTAACTGTGACAAATTGTAATATTTCTCAATAAAGTGTTTATATATATATATATATATATATATATATATATATATATATATATATATATATATATATATATAAATACATATATATATATTTGGAATAGAAAAAAATAGTTTATCAATTAGTTACCATAATAGAGGTATACCACTAAAGTTTGAAAAATCAACCACATGTTTAAACATATTTAAATTTGATTTTTTTTTTTTTAATCTTTTATATACTATTAAGACAATCTGCTACATTGCAGAATAATAGATATTAGAGCTACAAGTACCAATTCATACAATACGTACATAAAAAAGGAAAATAATTATAAATAATTAAAATAAATAAAATGCTAATGAGTCGGTATATGCAAATGTATATGATAAATAATGAAAATATGTAAGTAAATAAGATGCAGAAAATTATTACATATATAAAAGTTGTAAAATAATACATAAAGTTGTTTTTGTATATTCTTTTAAATATTTTCTAAGAATATATGTCGCCTGAAGGTTACTAAAATAAAATTTTAAAAATAAATATAAATCTGTTAACATTACTTTAAATAAATTAAAATATGGAGGAAGTATATTTTTCTTTGAAAAAAAAAATAGATTTTCATGGATTTTTCATTTGTAATCTATTTTAATTATTTTGAATTTAGATTTTATATTATATTTTACATATTGAGTTAATTTAAATTTTTTTTATTTATTTTTTTTTTATGAAATTTACAACTGTATTACATGAAAAATACAGCAAATAAATGTGACATTGATAACATGACATATACAACATGAAGAGAAACCACCCATTGGTAGAACTCAATAATTTGTATTCATTTTCATTTTTGTAAAATGAGAAATTGAAAATCAAATATAATTTTTTTTTAATATTTGTAAAAGACGCAATAAGAATTATACTTGACGAATATAAATTATCGATTGAAAAAACAAAACAAAACGCCTAAAAGAAAAATTAATACTATCAATTAACACTATTGGATTGTGAAATTAATCTAACAATCTATTGGGTTGTGAAATTAATTTCCAGTTACATTGTACTTAATCAAACATGGTTAATAAAAAGTGAGCAGATTTGTTTTAAAAGACAACTGTGTCGAGATTGAAAAAGTGCAATTGTGGAACATTATTATATGCTGTTTTGAATGATCAGAACTGGAAACCAGAAGTAATTAAGTAATTAAATAACTTATTGCAACACAGTATACGTATTTACAAATTACTTGTTCAAATCACAATTCATAATTTATTAGTTAATTAGGAATATAATATCATGTGATAATGTAATTATCACAAAGTTCTGATGATAATATAATTATGTGATGATTACCTTGCATCCTTCGCAGGTAAAGGCACCGAAATGGAATCCAGCGGCAGGTTCGCCGCAGACTCGGCACAACTGGTTCATCTGAAAGAAAAATATGATTACAATATCTGCTTTCGGTTATTTCATTTCTTTAAGTATTATTATTGGTAATTTTTTTATTTATTGTAGTAATATGAAATTTTGTTCGATAAGATATAATACGATTGCTATGTCCTCACTAACTGGAGATTAGAAGAGCATATTACGGCGTATTGCAAAACTATCATTTATCCCCTTCCCTATTCCACAACTATAAATCAACAATGAGTAATAAAGTGGTGTCATGAGACCAATCAGATACGTCCAAATCATCTGTGTATAGCGTATGATTGGGCCATCATATTATAGGTGGCAGCAATGTCCAGCGCTATCAACAGCATAAGTTACAATACAAATTTAGTATTTCTTTTAAAATTAGTAAAAAATTTCGAATATATTTTTCCAGAAAAGAAATATGGACATATCATGGAAAATACGTTTGCCATACATTGTTTTACTAAAGAATTTTTCATAATTTTTTAGCCAAATCGAACGGACCGTTTTATAAATATAAGTGAGTCAAAGAAAATATATTTATGCCTTCGTTTGAAAAATAAGTGAATGGAAGTTAATTAAATTGATATGGGATCATACTTGCATAGTCTGTGAAATTTTCGGATAACGGTATTGGAACGATGGATTTGGATTTGGATGGAGTTCCATAGGGACGAGGATCGGATAATGAAAGATCTGTCGAATGCCGCGTTTCGGTGGGCCGTAGTATATAGAGCATACATATACATCGTATATGCTCAAATCTGAAGACCTAGAGCGGGTATTGCAGGAATTAACAGAGGATTTGAATGAAAGAGTTCGAAGATGTATGATGGGCGAGGGATAAGATAATTTGAAAGAGGAAGAATGCCAAGAAATAAGTAGGATTGTATGAAGCGTCTCTTGAAATCCCAAAGATGAAACGTACAAAGCAATTTATCAACCGTTTTAATTTTACGTCGAGAACCCAAGAGACACCTTCATATGCCATATCACTGTAATCAGAGTGGGGGAGGATTAAGGAATTAACTAAAAGTCGCTTTAAGATGGAAAAGGCACGCTGGGAAATATTGGATAAATGTTTTTCCAAAAATATTTGATCAGATATAATATGATGAGACTTCTGTTTAGGTGCAGAGCTGAAATATCAGAAACTATTTTAAGAAGGTGATTGAAGCATTTTACAATTGCCTTGATAGTGAGTAAACAAACTAAAATAAAAAACTAAGGTGTGTGCTTTAGATCACACAGAAGAAGTGAAAACATCAACAACCCGAGATTCATAATATGAAATGTAAATTGTAAATAATATTTCCTTCGCTAACAGTACGCAGGTATGATTTTCAGTTTCTGAGATATTTTAATCTATATCTTCCATGAAACTCCTTATCATTTGGTTTTCGACACTTTTTTTTCCCTTATTACCTCTCTAACAAGGCTTCGCGTTAAGATACAATGTTCAATAATAGCCCATTACAGAGAGGATGAACTGCTGAATAATTCCCTAGCTTACATTATGGAGGTCCAATTTTTATTTTCTGAGATATTTCAATCTATATGCAAGAGCACTACAATCAGTTGACTCCCTCCGACTTTATCCGAGCGTTAAACATCTGAAATCTGACGCCTCGATCTATTCACTCTCTACAAATAAAGTTCAAAACGCGACTGAGGAGTTTTCAGTTCAAAAGCCACGTTAATACCTTCATAGAGCCACATATGGTTCGAAAACCTCGTTTTGTCGACCACTGTTCCAAAACAATACAGTAAGAGCTTAATAAATCTATTAGCAGTTCGTTATCGGAGCTAGGAGCTGGGACCTCGGTGCTATCAGATCTGGTGGCGCCTCTCCCGTGAAAGCTGCTGACTCACAGGGTGCGGTTCTTTTGTTTCAGTGCCCGTGTTTAGTGTCAGTAGGCGTTCCTCTAACCCAGTCTGTCTCTTGTCAAGGGAGGGAGGAGGCTGAGGATGTAAATTGAAAATGCGTCATTTGTAAGATTGAATCCCTCCTCCCAACATTTTTACTTTATCTTACCTATATATGCAATACATATTAAGGGTAAGTACTGCGATCGTGAAAATTTTAGAGTCTGAATTTTGAACGGAAATACATGTTCTGATATCTCCGAAGTCCAAATAACCAAGTCCCGCAAAACAGTGTGTTTGTGTGTGTGTGTGTGTTATCAGTCTAGCTCAAAAATGAAAAGTAGTATGAAGGTGAAATTGCGTATTTAAGATTTTTATAAACTTACAGCAACATTTTCGTCAAAATCGGCATACTCAATGTGGTACTTTATATAATCGATTTAACACATTTTTTTACGATTTTCTCAAAAACGTTAGAGCCGTTTTTTTTTATTATACTCGGTATATCAGTGTATTATTAAGCAGTTTTTAATACAACGTAGGTTTTATTATCATTGATGTTATCTATCAGGGTTTAAATGGCTATTTTTCAATATTCGTTTCCTATAAAGTATCTTTATTTTTTTTTTATTTGAAGTAAGAAACCACTTTACATTTATTTTTGATATGAAAAACAGTTAAATATAAAATATGAAATAATTTTATAACTAACTAAAGGAGAAATAAGAGATCGTAATAGATAATACTTGTAATAGAAGAATCAAAGGAATACGAGCTGGCCCGAAAGATTAGAACACGGTTCCATACGCAACATGAGCTTCATATAATACGGACTCCGACAATGTTATGTTCATATACTTATGCGGTTTTCATAAATGCTATCGTTGGTATTATTGAATATTCAATTTTATAGAATACAGCGATATAAAAATTAAAATTTGTACATATAAGGGTATTTAAATAAACAAAAATACCCAAAATGAATTGTAAATAAATATAGTGTCATTCCTATTCACTTTCACTTTCCCCTTACCTGAAAATACTTATTTCTGTTAAGAAAAGGGTGGTAAGTGAAAGTTGTGTGATGCGTGCACCGAATTTTTTATTTCTTCGACTGCCTTAACTGTACACATTATGATAATTGGTAGAAAATGTTTTTCTACACCATTTAATTTTTACCTGTTAATGATCCATGAGTTTAAATAAGATACGCAACACTGTACAACAGATAGTACATTATTTATGATTACTTCCAGTTCTCTTAAGTAAATGAACCGTTGTTGAAGAATCTTTGATCGTCTAGATAAATTAATGTATACAGGTGTTAAAGGTGTCATCTCAAATTCAGCGAATCTTAAATTTTTCACAACAATCGAGCTGAAGTTTACGAAAAAAAAAGTTAATTTTTAGGTAAAATATGTATGAACTTCAGAATACTATTCTTTTTTAAGCCAATAATATTAAACTGTAAACTAAATTTGGTATAAAGTATTATGTCAAATTCGATTAAACCTTCTGGTTCTCTTATCTGAACCATTTATTCAGGTTACGGGAAATATATTATATTACGTAATCGTATTTTATACTATCGCACAATAAATGTGACTATAAGTAGAGGGCAAAATAGAAAGATAGGATAGCGATGAATAAAGTATAATATATTAACTACTTTAGGAAAAAGCCTAATTTGATATATAAAACTAATTGATGGCATCATAGAAAATTGGGTATAAATATATATTAACTCCTTTTTTTCTTTTTTCTAAAATTTAAAAGTAATGTTATTATTATTATTTTTTTTTTTTTGTATTTATGAAGAAAAAAAAAAAGAAGAAAGGAATTTTAAAATAACTTAAAGTTACAAGACTTAACAATATGTAATTTTGGAAAAATTTTAATTTTACAAGAATTAAAAATTATATCATGGTAATTTTTCAAAATCTCTCTCTTTCTCTCTCACTCTCTCTCTCTCTGTCTGTCTATCTCACACACACTCTATATACGCATATTGAAAGGACAGAGTGACTCCTAAATAAATTAACATTTTTTTTTAATTTCATTTTTTTCATCAATGTAAATTCACAATCAGTAAGAATACAATCAGGAAATTGCCTATCGCAAAAAGAAATATTTACATAAACATGCATGATGGAAAATATATCGCAAGCGAATTGTGACCGATTGTAAATAAGTACGCTTATAAATTCGTTTTGTTTTATTTCTTTTGCATTTCGTGTTGGTGAGCACTCGAATATAAAACATGAAATACCTGACATGCGTATCTACAATTTAAATTATATTTTAAAATTAATCACGCCATAAGTATTTCGTACAATGTTCCTATTTGACCATCCATATTTTATTTGGGAATACTGGTTTGAAAACTCAATGTTTTTCCTCGCCACTTCAATCTGCTGGCCAATGGTCAGAGCAGACATAGAGTGGTCTACTTTTGAAATGGTCCACCAGATGCCACTAGCCACTGCGGAACTAGATCACCTTCCCCTACCATAGGTACAAAATGGCCGTCCACAATAGACAACGCTATTCAGCTTTTTATTTCTCCATTTTGGTACTCTGGTAATGGATATTCAAACCTTTTACTCATGTTTTCTATTTTATTTTACATATATTTTCATTTTATTTTATTAAATTATAATTATAATAATTTCTAATTATACTTAATTCCTTAAGTTGTAAATATCTGGAAAAAGCTTGAATTTAAGAAACAAGTATCGAAAACATTGGTACTGTATATATACACAATGTAGTTTTCATTTTTCGTTATTTAAAAAAAAATAATAGTACAATAGTTCAAAATAAATTAAAGGAAATGAACAAACAGACCTTTTTTATATTAATTTAATTTAATATATATATATATATATATATATATATATATATATATATAAATTTGTATTCTAAGTTCAATGAAAATATATTTTCGTTATTTTGATTAATTTGGTTCTGTTTGTTTATATATATATTTATTTTTAGTATTATAACTTTTCTGTTTAATTTATTTTCGTTTATTGTAAATAGTGTAAAAGTGCTCTCCGAACACTATTATAAATATTCTTAATTGAGAAAAATTGTAATATTTCTCAATAAATACATTTTCATGGTTTTGAAAAAAAAACACA